ATATATATATATATATGCAGTGAGCTTCACTAGGAAATACTGGATTCTTCTCCTATAAAAAGCACTACTGCTATGAAATCCAGCTTACTCTCTTATTTAGAGGTAACTAGGAATTAGTGACATCTCCTATTTAAAAATAACCCCAAGAAACCCGATGTTTGTGGCTTTTCTTTCTCAAAGAAAAAACTGCAATGAACAAATGTAAGTTTATCAAGATAATGGAAAGGACATGAATAGGAACTGTATCATTAAATATTGCTTCTTTCAATCTTGTTAGCCCAAATGTTTTCTGTAAAACAGGCTTGGATGATCAAAACATTTTGAAAGTCATGTTGCAAGTAACTTCAAACAATCTGTAGAGGCCTAGGCAATCCTTGCTTTCAGTTATTGGCAGCAGTAAAGTTATCCCTATAAAAATGTATGCCTGTCCATGTTCAATCATCAGCCCCTGCTTAAGAAGCCAAGTATTGCACTCTTATTTCTGGACAGAGTCTGATGTAAAACTGTCTAGGAAAGAAAAATAAACAAGGCCCTATATCCTTAAATGTCAAAGTAGAACAGACAGTTCTTTATAAATTTTCTGATTTAATCCTACAGTGTACAGCAAGTGTTGTGTAGTTTTGATCTCAAGCAAAGGATCATTTCAGTTTAACATTTGAAGAGAGTGAGACTCCTACTCACTTGGTGTGGTTGGCAAGTTAGAACTCTTTCGTATACATTTGCCTGACTCAAGTTTAGCTGCTGAATTAGTGGTTAAATACATACTGTGGGAATTGAGTAAGGGGTGACTGTTGAAGAGAGTTGCAGTTTGTAGAGCTTTCATAGCTTCAGCTTCAGGTCTCAATGATAGTTGCAGAGAACGTCCTAGAAAGAAAAAATGTTCTGTGAGATTAGTGCCTAAAGTCTGAAAGATGTAGTCGAGGGGGCACGGGCAGTTTTATGCTGATTGGAAATATAATGTTTGAAATCGGAAAATGGGAAATGCCTAATCAAAAAGTGACATGTATTCCATGACATTTTAAAAGTATTCTTAATTCAGGATGAATTTGGCATGGGTTCTTATCATAGTTTTGGTCATTATGTCATACTGGCTGCTCTCTAGCCTTAAGTACATGATATTTACTCTGAAGGGAATGGACTCCTTTAAGGGGAGGAGGGAAAACAGTAAGGGCAGAAAGTGTTTTCTATGAAAGAATTTTTCATCTGCCTACACTTTGTCTCTCCAGTTAATCTCTTTCTAAATGCAAGCCCCTGTGTGTCATGGAGGAGTATATGGGTGCTACGAAGCATTGACTAAATCCAAATTGACTTATTAGTAATGCTAAGCAGAGTTCGTGTATCTACTTAGGGAGTTCCATTGAAAAGAAGCCTGGACCATTTAGTGAGACAGATTTTAAATGAGACTCTCTAGCTATATGTCTGTATTGTATCAATATTTCTTTAAAAATTGCTTTAACTGCCTCTTTTCTTATTTTGCAGCCCTGAAATGAGATTATCTTTCATTGTGTTTTCTTCTCAAGCATCCATTATTTTGCCATTAACTGGAGACAGGTTAGTGCATTATCTTTTCACTGCAGGCTTTTAGTAGAGATGACTCTTAAAAGGCATGATTCATATTTTCAGGTGGTGATCAGGCCTCTCAGTTCTTTACACTAATAGAAGAGAGAGGAGGTATGAATGGCAAAGGAGTAGATAATCTGAAAATCAATTATCATTCACAGTGGCTGGAGGATGGACAAGGAAACTTAGATTCTTGCCTTAGTTATATAGTTATTATTTCTGATCTTTCCCTTTCTCTGTTACTCTAAATAGCTCTGATTTTTCTTATTTAGATGTAATATGCTAGTCAACTAGGAATTTGAAATTTATGAATCTATTTGGATAATTTACTAGATTCAGCAGATATCCTGGCTTTCTGGTCTTTCTGTGAGGTCCAGTGATGCTGAATATATTTGATGTTATAAAGGAACACACAAATATTTATAAAAATATATGCTAAAATATGATCTCCTTAGTGCCTTTAAAAGATGTGGCTTGTCTCAAGTCAATCCCATATATAGTATTTCTGGTAGTCATTTGTCCGTCATTTCTTCATATCATGGGAAGATATTGATAGTCACTGACATATTTGGAGAATAGCTTATCTCCCTGGGATCAGATTTGCTTATAGATTCTGACTTACATAGCCAGAAGAGACCCGTTCTTTTCATTTTTATAACTATTTCATATAACATGAAATATGTCAGGTTTTGCTTAAAGAATTCCTGTTGAACAAATAAATGAGTTAGTATTACTTCGAAATCAAATTCTCAAATCTACAGTTTCAGCAAAGGGGTCTTAATCTCCTTTGTTTTACATGACGTGGATTTCTGAAAAGTTACATGTGTATACAAATAAGTTTTTCGGTAAAAATCAATGTAAAATTGAATTATGTACTATTTGAAGGGGCTCAACCAAAGAACTTATTTATAATTCTCTGACTTGATTTATATAAAAAAATCCTTTTACTTTTTTTGTTAAGTTTTCTTTGCCCTGGAGAAGAAATATTTGTGCAGGTGGTGAGTCCAGGCTAAGACTTTAACCTTCACGTTAATACTTTGTCTCCTTACTTTCTTGCATGGTGGGGATTCTGTTCAGGTGTCAGAGCAATGCTAACTCCTCAAAACCTGTGTTCTGTACCCTCTGTTTTAGCAGCTCTTGCCTTATGAAAATAATTTTTTTCTGTTGCCCAGCTTAATTTCCAAAGAAACAGGTTTAGATCCAACATATCGAGGAAAAAAGAACAATTTTCACATTTGTGGCATGTGTATATATGTAGAAAAGCACTTAGCATAATGTCAGACACATAAAAGACGCTGTAATTGACAGCTACATATATTGTGCCAGGTTCTCTGCTAGGCACTTTGCATATGGGTCCTCCAGCACTTTGAAGATGAAGCATATCACTGGGATCTCAGATTGGTATTGCTTAGACGGGCACAGAGAAGGTTTAAATCTTTATTCATGCTTTCCCTCCCTCCCTCCCTCCTTCCCTCCCTTCCTTCCTTCCTTGTTTTTTTCGTTTTGGTGGTTTAATCCAATGGGAGCACTAAAATGAGTGGGAAAAGAGATGTCTTCTTCAAGAGACATCGTAGTGTTACACTAAAGAGTGACAGGGCCAGGTCTACCTGTGCATAAATCCTAGGTCTCCAATTTACTAGCCAAATGGACAAGGACAAGCTCTTCATGCTGCTGTTTTTCCTCCCTCTGTGATGATGCTAGTTATTACCTACCTCATAAGAGTTTTGTAAAATTTGAAGTTCATAATGTAGAGATTGTAGGACAGAATTTGGTACATAAGTTTCAAGATATAAAAGCTTTGTTATCACTCTTCATTATCATTATCTGGAGGCAGAGAATATGCATTATTTTAATCACCAGAGAAGTATCATGCTTAGGTAAGGTTAATATTATCTTGCTTTGAAAGGACTCACAATATTCCAGGAGCAAGTTTAATAATGCTGCTTGCCACTCCCACATACTTGGCTCTCTTTCGCTTTCTCTTTTGAAATAGAAATACTTCCAGTCTTAATGAATTATTTCAGTGTTTGTGGCACGTTGCATTAGTTTGAGGTGGCAGAAAATTACTGAGAAAGCCATAATAAGACTTTTAGCTTCGCCACTTAATGGTTTGGAGACCTTGTAGCAAATGTATGTCAGTTTTTCTGTCTTAAAATGCAGACATAACTTCTGCCATTTTTTTAGAAAGTTACAGAGAAGATCAAAAATAAGATAATGCATGGAAAGATGCTTTGTATATTGCGGAACACTCTCCAGTAAAATGTATCACTTTGTCCTAAGTTATTCTTTCACAGAATTTATTCGTTGAGCCAATATTTTCTCAACTGTCTACAATCCTCTCTATTTGGATGTAATATCACTTTTCTTCCATTACACAGTTTCACATGTCTAGAAATAATTTGCATAGTTAGATGCCAGACCACTGAACAAGAGTTTCCACAACTCTTGTGGATCTTCGTTTCAAAGCCTAAACATTGAAATCTCATATAAACTTTCCTGATATCTTGCAGCATGTTCACAAATAGATCTAAGAACATGATTTGAGAAGCAACAGTTGAGTCAAAGAAAAGCACCGGAGGTTTCACAATTTTGGCTCATATTACTGATGGCCTTCAGTACCTTGGTAAATTTGAGAAGTACGCTTTTCATGGTTCTCACTATGTTGCTAAAGGGTTTCTGTACAGATGAGGCAAGCTTAGGAGGCAGAGAGCACTCAGGGTAGGGCCACATCTTTTAAAATTTCAGTGCTGTATCTGACATCGTGTAAATCTCAACTGCAAAATTAAACATGGAAAGAAATTTTTGTCATACATTTTACATTTCCATTATTTAAAAAAATTATTCTGTTGAATACTTCAGTTTGAAGCACTTCCTCCTTTTCTCATGTCCCCCAAGAGTTTGGTTTTCCATCTGTCTGTTAGTTCACCATCCACTTATCTACATCTCTGCCTTCTTTTCTGATGCGTGGGATCTGGGAGTAACACACAGAAGAGTAACAGAGTATTGTAAGTAGTGGTATGATCATGTATGTAAATAGCTTACAGTTGTATTATAGGGTCAGAGAACAGAAAAATGCCAAGGGTTGACTCGATAGGGAAGTATCCAGTCTTTCAGTATTAGAAAAATATGGAATTAGGGCTAATTCGTGGATATCGTTAGTAATTATGTTGTATAGTTGGGACTAGGGACTTACATTCAGTTCTGTTTAACGTAATTTTAATGCCACGATGATTTAGGGGAACGCTACCTGAACAATTACTGTGTGCCAGGAAGTGTGTAGAGAACTTTCTCTTCATAGCCTCAGTTAATCCTCTTGTCAACTTCAGGTAATAGTTAATGTTATTATTTCAGTTTTACAAACAAGGAAACTGAAGCTAAGCAAAGTAATGTAGCTTGTAGGACATACAGTTCACAAGTGGCAAGCCATGATCTTTTAAACTTTAGATCAGATCACACCACTCTCATGCCTCAGACAGTCTGACGGCTTCGAATGGAAAGCAATGCCTCCCAGTGCTCTAAGAGACTACCTGATCACCCTACTTCATCTTCTCCTACAACTTTGCGTCCTATAGTTTAGCCCTGCTGGCCTTATTTTCCGTCCCCTGAACAGACCAACATGTTTGCACATTAGAATCATTGCTGTTTCTCTGCCTTGGCCTTCCCTGGGTTAGCATGTTCTGGTTATACTCATCTCACCAGGCACCTCCTCTGAGAAGCCTTGCCTGGCTACCAAATCTAAAGGAACCCATCCTTCCTCCCCAGTATCTCTTACTGAGCTCTATTTGGGTATCACTTTTTGAATTTGTCTCTTAATTAATCAATTTATTTGTGACTCCTGGGCTGGGTAATGTAAATATTTATATAGCCTAACACCTAAAACAGAGTCTGGCACATGGGAAAAGCCATGTTTGATGAATGAATTATTGGGTTCTCCTAACTCCAGGATTTGAGTTACTGTGATCTCAGATTCTCTGTTTCTAATTAAGCCACACTGTAAATGGTGACTTGTATTTTTCTCACTCCTACCCTTTTATGTCTGTTGTAAAGGTGACTTGTATTTTTCTCACTCCTACCCTTTTATGTCTGTTGCAAACATTTCCAACTTTCTTTTCCATATATGTACTTCCTTTGAATCTGAAAATGTTATGTGTTAAACCCAAACACAATAGTCAATTATTTAGAAAAAAAATAGACCTTAGGCAAATTTTTAGGAAGTTGTAGGGAGGAAATTCATTTGGACAATATGCATATTTCTGTTTATTTGAAGGGAATTTTTTTCTAATCCCTTAAAAGTACTTGTAGGAAAGTAGTCCTTTATGCACCATTGGTATCTTATAAATTAACACATTCATTATAAGTGTGTCTAGAAACTTCCTACCCAGCAACTCTGCTTTTTGGGACTATGTCCTACTGAAATACTAGCATTGGCTTTCAAGGACAGGTATATTAGCAGAAGTACACATTGAAGCACTGTTCGTAATAGTGAAAAACTGTATTCATTTTAAATGCCTACCAATTGATGATACTGCAATAAAATTAGAATCTCTACATAGAATAGGATACGGTGTAGTTGTTCAAAAACTGGAAAATCTGTACATATTCACATAAAAGTATATACAAGATATATTTAATCAAAAAGTAAGTTGCAGAGCACTGTGATTTTATTTTTGTAAAATATAAAAAAATCCTTAACTGTTTATATGGTGTGTGTGTGTGTGTATGTGTGCGTGTGTGTGATCAAGAATGCCTGGAAAATGGCTGATGGCTAAACAGTAAGCATTTAAAATATGATGCTGTCTTAGGCATGAGATTGAATGTAGGGAGAGCTTTCATAGTTTAAGGGTTGGATTTTTTTTTTTTTTTTTTTGGTAGTGTTGGAGATTGAACCCAGGGTCTCACACAGTCAAGCATTCTACCACTGTAGTTTAACCCCTAGCTCCTAGCCCCATAGTTTAAATTTTCATAAATCTATGTGGTTTGTAAAAAATTAAACAAATGCTTAAATTACAAAGAAACTTCCATATCTCTTTTGTAGCCAGCTAGCTTGGAATTAGACTAGAATTCAAAGGTTAAAAAGAAAAAGCATTAAGGGGTACAGCCTGTTGGACTGTTGCCTCTGAAGTCCTGGAGGGCTTCTTGTTAGCGTCTGCGAAACAGCATTGGACCTTGGGTCAAACAGACATAGGGGCTACGTACTGGCTGTGTGATCTTGTGTGAGTTACTTCATTCCAGGAGCCCATTTCCTGGGCCTGTTAAAGGAAGCTGATCATTCTCCCCATGCAGCAAGGTTGAAGTAACTGAATGCTTGTAATGCGTGAGAAGGCTTAATTAAGGGTGTGGCACATGCAGCGTGCACCCCAAACATTTGTAACTTTCTTTGCTTCTGTCACCTGTGTGCAGATGCCTACTTTTCCATAGTTCTTATGTGTAATTTTCTAGTTCTTCTTATGCTATTCTGATGATGAGGTGGGAAAGAGGCTAAGGAGGTTTTCAGTGTATGCCATCATTTTGGTTTTAATCACCATGTGCCAGAATGTTAACAGAAGTTTAAAGAAGTCCGGGGATTTACACTGGCACAGCTTAGCAGTTGAAGCCAAGATTCACACCCTGATCTGAGGTTGAGCATGAGCATTTAACCAGTGTGTTTCATGACTCAGATTTCCTGGTTACTTGTCTGCACATTAATCAGAATGTGTCATAATTCAAAGACATGGTCTTCCTCTACATGTACTCTCTTACAAACTAGAGAAGAGGGGAGAATCAGTGACCACAGTTAGGGAGAAAAATCAACTAAGCTAGCAATTTCTCCTATTTAGGAAAGTCTTCTCAGGCAAAGTTGTACCAACCCCTGGAGGTCTGGGCATGACCATAGCTCAGATTTTAGTGACGTTAATAGTTATTTTCAGTAAAGTGCCACATCTGCTTTATGAGTTTATTTTAGAAAATTGATGTTAAGTCAGTAACTTAATCCTGGGAGACAGACTTGGTAGACAGATGTGGTAAAGTACAGGAGTCAATTCTAAAAGTAGTGAGTAGGGAAATGGAGTGAAAATATGTGAGGTGCAGCAGGCATGAGTACTAGTAAGGGTTGTGCTGAGTACTAGTAAATTCACTTTTATTTAGAGAAAACTTCTCTAAAGTGGAGGGCAACTTGTGAGCAGATATTTTTGGATCCTGGACCACCACTTTGGACTTCATGTCTGGATTCTGTGCCATGGAGACCTCCACAAATATTAGGTTTAGGGTGACATTTAAAATAAACAGTATGCAAGAGTTTGTATGATCTATAGCACTATAGTAAGAGATGGCTAAAACCTGTTAATTCATAAGTTGATAGAATCAGTTTTATAACACACACACGCACTTTTAAAAGTCTGGACTGGGTCAGTGGTTGACATCGTCATGCAGTGGAATATAGCAGAGAGGAGCAAGAATTCATGTCTGGTACAGCTTTAGGGCTAAGGCCAAACAAGGCATGGGACTTTGCTGTGTTCTTGGAATCCACCTGCCAGATGAAAACGCTGACTCTGAGCCACTGTGCTACTACAAAGTGTACTATGCAGTGAGAAACAAGATTCTGACCAAAAGCAGCCAGCATCAGCACTAGCTCCATTCTTTGCATTCATTCCAGCTTCCCAAATGTCACCCTGGGAAGCATCAGAACTGGCCTTTCGGTGCCTGGGATTATGAGAAGCAATCAGTTGTAGCTGCACCACTCTTTTTGAGGTTTTTTTTTTTTTTTTTTTTTTTTTTTTTTTTTTTTTT